GAGAGAGAGAGAGAGAGAGAGAGAGAGAGAGAGAGAGAGATCGAAGGGAGAAAGAGAGATCGAAGGGAGAAAGAGAGATCGAAGGGAGAAGGAGAGGGAACGAGAGATTTGGGCGCAACGAGTGGTCAACCGAGATGTATCGTATTAACGAGGCCAGCTGATGGATCCAGCCTAGATTCGCCAGTGTCTAATTACATTGTGGACCGAGGGAAACTCGTTTCTCGCGTGCTCGACTGGAGATCCCGTCGAAATTACGGATCTGCCGCACGGGGCCGCAGCTGACTGACGCATGACTGGCTGCGGGTTAAGCGAGTCAACGAGTAAATGAGTTCGAATTACGGGGGCGTGTCAATGCCAGGAAAATGATCTGGCCGGCCCGGCCCGGCCCGCTATTGAGGAATCTCCGCTGGCCGGGATTATGCAAAGGGTACCGAGCCGCATGTCGTTAGCGACCGAACCTGCCGCGCGAGAATACTTAACGTTCGACGCTAATCGACTCTCGAGCTTTCAAGGACCGAAGAGAAGTCGATTTGGAAAATTGCAGCCGCGTAATTGCGGCCGGGTATTCCGATGAAAAGCCTTTGACGGATATACGATCACGACCATGCTACTTTAGTTTTCTAAAAATTATTCAATTACAAGCTTTAGCAAGGAACGGAGGCGAACGTTATTTTATCGTGACCGTGGCTCGGAAGAGTAACAGCTGACGAGACGAGAAACGAACGCGCGAGGGTGGTGGGAAAGGGTTGTCGCATGACAAGACCGATTAACTCCAGGAGCCCCGATGAAACCTGCATCGCGCGAACAATAGGCCAGACAATAGGAATCGACTGCGTCCGTGGACCACAAACGGGTTGCGTTTTTTTTTTTTTATTTTTCATCGGATGTCATTCTCGTTTCGCGGAGACCCGGTGGACAATAAGCGAAATTACGCCGACGTACCGGCTGGATATCGGTTGAGTTATTGGTGTATCGGCTATATCGAGAAAATTGGCGGTGGTCATCATCGCCATTATGAATTCTTTATTTGGATGTTGCGGCGGCTGAATTACAGGGCGGCGCGGGCTACCTTGCTTACTGCTTCATATATGGACCCGTCGGTACCAGCGACGGCTACGAACCCCTCTCGAGCCCGAACAACGAACGGTTTCGACCGCCGAAACAGGATCGAGCGAAACGTGTTCGTGTCGCAGCCGGTTATTTACTCCATCGTCAGCTCGCCGAGAGTACTTATGCCCGGTGACACATCGGTGGCTCGTAAATACCGTGCTCAAATAATACCTTTCCGAAAAGGCGGCCCCTTTGGCTCCCATTTGGAACGAACATCGGCCCGTTTCGAAGAATACGGGTAGAACACGGTCTTCGTATAGAAAATGATTTTTCGTTCGCGGAGATATCGAGCGCTTGCCGGCTGGATTAATTGGTCTCCGAGGTTTCACGAAGAACAAGACCAGGGGGATTAATTGGCGGCCTCGGTTACAACTTCCTGGTGCACGGCGGACCCATCGAAACGACGTAAAACCGCGCTCGAAACGTTCAGTTACATAATCCCTCTCGTAATAAAAGTGAATCGCCGCGCCGCGCCGCTCCGGGAGATGTCTCGGAACGGCTGACGCGTAACGCCGTTTAGCCGTTTCTTCCTGTTGTTTTCGACGCGATCGTATCGCGACGAGCGCATCTTATCGGCCACGGCCGCGGGAGCGTCTCGCGTCTCGCGCGGAGCAGCGTCGAACGAGCACCAGGCGAACCGTAAAACGTGTAATCAGCGTGCATGCTCGCCGGGCGTAATCGCGCTTCTAATAGACATCCTAGATTCAGCGGCGATTAATCGATCAACAGGCCGGTAACGACGCGTGTTTTATATCGAGATAATGGACGACAGGCTAATGACGGGCTCATTAACGAGACTCGATATAAAATGGTTCCGTTTAACATCAGATACCCCGGTTAACAGGAAGTAGGTCGGTAATATGCTCGGGATATCTTCGTACATCTCTCATTGCGACGGACTGGTCACCGATGGCTGGTTAGCATTTCTATTTACGAGTGACCGGCTTCGGGAAAGCATCGTCGCGACACCATTAACGCGCGCGCACACCGTCGTCGTCGGCGGCAATTCTATTTAGTCGTCGCGATAACCCGCCCGGAAATTCAAAATTTATTTCCACTGATCCAACGTAATCGAAAAATATGCTCGCGGATTTCGTACGCGTTTTCCCGTTCCGATTTAGGTTGCTCGGAACCCGCGCGAGTGGGGGATACTTTTGTTTATAATTATTATCCTTGGCGGTGCAGTCGGACGACGAGCGTGCCAGGCTTTCCCGCTTCGCCATACCGGTTGTTGTTGTTAGCTAGCCGCGATTTCGGATGACTGGTTATGACGAGTGCCAGAGTTCGCTTGAACAGGTTCGACCGGGAAAGGCGAAATGACTTCATCTTAATAAATTACAGCTTCGAATAAACCTCGCGAGCGGCTTCAAAAGGTTCTGGGAAGGGCAGCGTGTATCACGCTATTTTTAGAGAATAATTCCTCCTCGCCTCTCGCGCTCGCCTTTGAAGGCCCCGACCGGCCCCGCGGATTCGCCTTCTGTCTTTCTGCCCGCTCTCGATTCTTTCGGAAGCGGTCCTGCCTCGTTATCGTTCTCCTCTCTTCCACAATTTCGCAAATACAAAACGGTTCCTTCCTTTCGTGTTTTCCGTCACGAGTTCGGCCGCCGTCGTCGCCCCGAATCGTTCTCTCACCCTTCGCGATCGGCCGCGTCGACGAAGATATCGCGGGAAAGAATCGCACGATTCGTTGCCGGGAACGTTCGTAACGAGACAGGCGAACGTTCTCCGATTATTCCGACACGAAACGACTTACCTGTCGTTCGGGATCCTCCTGTTCGTGCACGGCGCGGAAGAGGATCGTCGGGAAAGGGTGGGCGGAGGGTACGTACCGCGATACTCGCAATTACTCCGCGCGTGTATTTTAAATGTCTCCATTTATTTAGACTCACTATACACAGTACTAAGTCCGATTCGCACGCACTCTCAGCTTCCCTTTCACGCGTCTATCACCTCGTAAACCATTAAGCGGTGTACGCGATATGGATTTACATCTTCTAACGCGGTCGTAAAGCTCACTAATTAAACTGATGATCAGGTATATTGCAGTGTCCCATCTATCGTTTATAATTCATCTGAATTCGTTTTATTCTCTACACGTGTTTTCCGACGTCTCTATCTCTCGTTTATACGTAAACATTATCGAATGGGGTGTTTCGGGGAAATTGGGCCGGGGGACGGGGGTTACTTCGGGGGAGTCAAGGGTTTGGGAGAACGACGTATATACAGCTTATGTACAGGATCGAGGCTCGCGTCGCTTCGCCTCGCGTCGGGCCGCCTCGTTTCATAATTTATAATGCGCTAGGATATTTACTTAATAACTTATTAGCGATGCTCTCTCTTTCTCTCTCTCTCTTTCTCTCTCTCTTTCTCACTCTCTCCCTCTCCGAATCATTTGGCTTTCTTCACCATTCTGCTCTCCACGCAATAAATACAATATAATACAGGGCGTCTCGCGGATTCCGCTCAACCAAACGAAAACTCATTGCCCATCCTCGAGCGCGCAGACACGGGAACACCTGATCAGTTATGAAAATCAACTACGCAAGGCGACGAATGCGCAGGATGTCCCGCACAGCGGGGTGAGGCGTCTACCGGGTGAACATACTAATTCGGAACTACGATTGCGACGCGACGCAGTCTGTCTGATCGCAATTCAAAATTGCAATGTTCAGCCGATAGTCGCCCCACGTCGCTTTGCGGTATTCCCCGCGCATGCGCCGCCTTGCGTAGTTGATTTTGATGATTTCATTGCACCTGAATTCGTTCCTCGGAAGGAACCGATCGCCGCACGAGACCTCGCTTCTCGCCGCCTCCGAAAAATAATAGCTTCCGTTCGTTCCGGCTCGCTTGAATTCGAAAATTTTGCCTCGACGGTTCTCGTCCAACTACGTTTCGTCGCTGGTATGCAAGTGGCGCCTCGTCACGCCCCACTTGGCGACTACGTACAGTTATAGTTTGTGCAATTGTGCTATACCGTTCACCACCGCGGTTATTGTACTCGACGAAAAGACCTGCTTCGAAAGGCGCCTCTCGTGGTTCGATCATTTGCATTTCGTTGCATAAATACCGAATAAAAATTCCTTAATGGCTTCGCTCCGCGCGCATCAGAATGCCGAGAACGCTTCCCGTGTCTCCGCGTCTCTTATCCGCCCAATAATGCCTCTCGGAAATTCCTTTCCCCGTCTTCGTCAACGTCGTCCGAAAATGCTCGGCGATGGCTCGCCGCGAACGGAGAGATCCCAATATCGAAAATATGATCTGTCGCGGAGGCGGGGCCCGTGAATATTTGGCAGTCTTTCATTTACAGAACCTTCGGGACATCACCGCTCAAAGAACAGCCGCGCCAATCCCTCCCCCATCCCACCCCCTACGTTCTTTCTCCATGCGCATTCGTTGGACTCTCAGTCTTTGTTCTTCCAAAAGGAACCACGGAGAATCCTGTTTCGCTGTCTTTGTACCGTTCCTGACTTCCAGCCTCGCCAGATCATCGTCTTCGAATCATCGTTCCCGTGCCGCGGATCGGGCGGATCGGGCAGAGATTGCCCCGCGGAGCGGTTTCGACCCCGCGCGAGCACCGGCGAACAGCGAAGCCACGCCCCGTTGCCCCCGAACGCTCCCAGGGCAAGGAGCGCTTGCGCTGCTCCGTGTCGATCGACCGAGAGAAACAGAGCGCTCTCGATTTCGATCGACGGAAGTGGACGATCGACGCGACGGATCGGATCGGATCGGACGATCTCGGCGAGATCCGGTGGTCCTTCCGAGAGCCTCGAGGGAATTTCACCGGTGGTTGGGCGCCCGTCGAGATGGCTCCTACGACTTCTCGTCCATCGAGCTGGGCAGAGGCCGTTTCTTCAGGATCCCCAGGTCCTGCACGTTCTCCAGGAAGGTCTTGTGGTGCTGAGCCACCAGGAGCGGGTTCACCGTCTGCACGTCCTTCTTCAGCTCCTCCATGTCCCTCTTGAGCTTCGCCCTTCGGTTCTGGAACCACGTGATCACCTGGGCATTGCTCAGGCCCAGCTGCTGCGCGATCTCGTCCCTGTCCGCGGGGCTCAAGTACTTCTGGTAGAGGAACCGCTTCTCCAGCTCGAAGATCTGCTGGTTCGTGAACGCCGTCCTGCTCTTGCGCTTCTTCTTCGGCTGCTGCCGGTTGTTGAACAGGTTCAGGTGGTTCGCTTGCTCTGCAACAGAAACAGCGATCGAAAATTAGCGGAATCGTTCGCAGGTAGGAATGACTTCTATGTCGGACGGACTCTTGGCCCACGATCGATGGGTATGTTTTTGAGAACATAGAGCGCGGAGATTAAACGAAGAATGCGCGGAGTAGTGAAGCTGGGGGGATAAAAGCTGGCGGGGTCGGGACGCGAGATTTTCGGGCGTCTCCGGCTCGGCTCGTCTCTGCTTTCCCAGAATTCCAGGGCGAAGCCGGCGACTCCGGGAAGCCTGGTTGGCTTCCATAAATACGCCTTAGAACTCGAGGGCCGCATCTAATATCGAAATTTCTTAATCTCCGAACGAGAGGATAGAGGAGAAATGCAAAACGAATCGGACATCCTCGGGCGTCTTTGAATACCGGGGCCCTAGACTCGAGACGGTCCCCTCCACCGGGGCCCGGCCAGCTCCGAGCTACAAATCAGATGCATTTTCGAGCCACGGAAGGGATCTCTCTCTCTCCATAAAAATCGTATTACCTATTCGCTACGGTGTTCAGTCCGAGGAATTCCGGGACAGCTTCTTGCCCTAGGGATGTTAAAAGTTTTGTTTCGGACACCGCGCCGCGAAGCAATTAGGCGATCGCGCCGCCGAATAATTAATAGGAATGACTCGCGAACCGCCCGCGCCATCGGCCGAGTCGGTTTTTCTAATGTCCGATCGGCGACCGTCGCCTCGAATCGCTGGGGGAACTCTAATTGGCCGAGTACATACTTGCCGCGGGGCAGACTCGAAAACTCCGGTTCGCCCGCAGTGTCCCGATGCAATTAGCTGATTGTGTTGTTGAATAATTGAGTGTGATCCGAACGTTCCGCAGAGCAGCTCCGCCAAGTCGAGGCGTGTAATTAACGTCGAACGAGGATCGTTGTAACAAAGAAGCTAATGGGATTACAACTTCCGGTTTTAAACACCGCGAAACGGTAGCTCCTAGCGCACCGAAACAATTAGACGAACAAGCGAAGTTCAGCCGAGCGAAACTGCCGTTCGAGCGTTTAACGATCTTTCGGTGTAAGTTCCGATAGATTTTTCCGAGCCGCGGCGAGTAGCGGGCGCAACAAGGTCGCGCCAAGGACAAGAAGCGTCCCGGAAAACGGATGCGGAATTCGCGATGGCGTTAGCCATTAGGAAATAATAGAGTCGAATGACGAAAAAAGGAGGCGGCCGATGAGTCGGGGACAAGGCAGTCGGGGAGTCCCTCCAGGATCAAAGAACGCCGCCATCGGTCACACCTGCGCAACCCGAGTGTACAGTCCCATCTGAAAGCTAGCCCCGACCCCGGCGCGACGGTGAACAATCAACCTTGCTCCACGGTGTCCGCAGACGTAGCTTCTTCTCACGTTCCGAGCCATTGAGCTCGCCGATGCCGATCGACCGCGCTCTTTCTTTCCAGCCTGCTTACAAAATCTTCGCCCGAATTAATCGAAATTTCCACGCGACCCGACGCGCTAACACAATAAGCGCCCCGGCCAGCGCCGAGCTCGCAGAATCGGAGTAAATCGCGAATTGTACGCGTACATTCGTTTCTGTCCGCTTGTCTTGCTGAAAACACGAGAAACGTTCGGCGCGTTGGGTAATCCTGTTCGCCGGCGAAGGCTACGTTACCGCAGATATTAATTTCCATCTCCGAGCGGAGGCTATTATGCGACAAACAGTCAATAAAACCGATATTCACTTATTGGCCCGAATGAATCCTTTCTCCGTGACGGGCCGGCCGAGAGACGGTCGGAGATTTATGTAGGACGAATCGGTAATAACTCAGGAATGAAATCGAGGAGCCGGGCCCGTTCCCTAGCCGCTTAATTCCATGTAAATTAGCCTCGCGAACGAAACCGAGCTCTATAAATCGTCCGGCTATTTCCGTGGTCGAAAAAAGGACTAGGATCGGCGCGGTTCTCGCAGCGTTCAATTAAATCGAAGCCCGGCGAAACCCGGAAACTCGATTCGAAAAAGAGGCGGCCGAGCGGCGGTCTCTCGGCAGTCTCGACACGATTCTGCTCCAATAACGACAGAACAGGACGATCGCGATCAACTCCGCGGAAGCACGGGGCTGCCTTTAATTGCAAATTGTTCGGATGATGGCTCTCGGCTTCACTCTCACGGCTCTCAGGGCTTCGCGACTCGATCGTCCCCGAGCATCCTCGGAACTTTCGCCGATGCGACGGGGCGGCATCGACACCTATCGGTCGGATAATATCTATTACGGTCCATTACGGCTGAGAAGATTACTTTCGCAAGGAGGCTTGCGTTAGGAAGCTTGCACCTCGTTCGGCGTTTCCCGGTTTTCCGCGAGGACACGCGTTCTCCGAACGGCTTTTCGAGCCGGAAACGACTTAACTGCCGACCGGGGCAAATTTAATGCCCCTCGAAAGCGTCATTACGTCGCCGTAAAACACTGATCCGTCCTCCCGGCCGTTTCTATCGCGGCCGATCCGCACTTTTTGCCGATCGAGACCGTCCGATCGCGCGCGCGCGCGCGCGATACGAGTGCCAGATTTAATTGCGACCGGGCCGACTCGGTCCCCTCGGAAATTACATCTTTGCCGGGCTAGATGGTCGGGAAAACATGATCGACCCTGGCTTGGTCACCAGATTCGCGGTGACAGAAGCACGAAAATGATCGAGAGCACTCGAGAGATCCTACCGAATCGCGTGTAAACGCTGTCCGCCCTTCGCGGAGACGTTCCAAGGACACGCGGATTATTAGAACGCGGATACGTCGCCGCATAAATTTTACGACGCGACGGACTTTTGCAAGGCAGATTTTTACGAGTTATAAACGCGCGGTGTTTCGTAGTCCGGCGATTATAGACGCGATCCGTAAACTCTGTGATTTTTTACTCGGGACTTTTAATCATCGACGGCTGTCGGACCCACGTGCAGCAATTTTTTCATTTGCCATTTAACCCCGTTGCTATCTATGGACGCCGAGATGGAAGTTTCTCGCGCCGCTGCGTTACGGAATAACCAAGAAGCAATAAAGGTCGATTTTATCGATCGCGCTTCCTGCCGCGTTCGCCCAAGCGTGGTTTCCAATGGAAATTGGCAGCGATAACGAGGAGAATCGTTTTCGGCTCGAGGGCGAGGCGAACCCGGTAGGCGACTCTTCTTATCGTTGGTTCGGCTGGCGCATTCTTTCGGCGCGTCTAATTCGGTCGAGAAAAATGCGCAACAATTTTGTCGTCGGCCGTCCATTTTGCCGTCCAGAAATACGGTGGCGGTCGAGAAGCAAAGAGAGAGAGAGAGAGAGAGAGAGAGAGAGAGAGAACGCAGGAACGACGAACGGAAGAGAGCGGAGGAGAGCCCGCCGAGATATTAGTTTCTGCGGTCGACTCTCCGCGGAGATTTAATTCGTTTGATGTTCACGAATTCGCCGCTTCGGCTGTCCTTTCGCAACCCTCTCCGCGCCGCTCCTCCCCTCGTCCCGGGACTCAGTCTTCGGTCTCCGGTCTCGGTTCTCGGCTCTCGGCTCTCGACAGTCTCCCGGCAGTCGTCGATCTCCGACTCGCGGATTTTCTCACCTTTCTTTGTGATTATACAGGCCCTCGCATTTAGCCGCGATCCACTCTTCTCGCCTCGCTCTCTGTGTTAAGTCTGTGTTCCTCTCTCATCTCCTCCCGCGCCCCTCGGCGACCAAGCGCACCGACGAAGGCGAAACGCACCGACCAAGCGCATCGACGCGCGCTCTCGGCTTTTCAGACGGCGAGGAGCGGAGCGGCGTGGCGTGGCGCGGCGCGGAGCGGCCTGCCGGAGCGAATGCGAAAGCTGCTTAATGACTTGACGCGCGGATCCACCGTTCCGCTGCAGCTTCGGCTTCCAACTGTTACGATCTACCTGATCCTCTCGCTGAAAACACTCGTCCTCTCCGCGAACGACCCTCGCGGAGACGAACGGGCTCTGCAGACAGCCAGCAGCCATTGCTATGCTCTAGCCGCCACGATTTAGAGGAGACTGTCCCGGACAAAGTGGCCGATGATCGGAGCCCAGCCTGAGATTTTTAGCGAGATTTTTAGGATCCTAGATCTTGGCCGAAGTAGCAAACACGTTTAACGAGTATAAACGCCATCAGCGATCGCGTATACAAATGATCGAGGTGAAATCGATCGCTCCCATTCTGTTCTTCGTAGCATACGTAGATCCTCGTAGACACCGCGATCCTCGATTATTTATTCCATCCTGGTGAAAATCCAACAGCAATCTATGCCGGCCACTAACCACGCGATCTAGGGAATAAAATCGGGGAAGCGCGACGGTGCTTCTTCTTCGACGAATCGGAAGCATTCGATGAAACGTGGGAGGGAAGGGCGGCTTCGTTGAACAGAGCAATCTCGATCGGTCACCCGCGAATTCCTCAATGTCGCGGCTCGAGTAGAAATTCCGAATGTTCGCGGCAGGGTTCACGTGTCACGACCCTTGACACAGAAGTTAGCGTTCGGAACGCGACGCGTTCCATCCCCGTCCGGACGGTTAAGTAGACACGCGAGGTCCGAGAATGATCGAAGCTTTCGAGAAAGAAAGAGAGACGGCGTAAAAAAGCGGGAGAAAAAGCGAGAGGTGAAATTCCAAGTGCACCGGTTGCGCCTAGGCACGTATCAATTGCGAGCCGACACGCCAATTGGCGTGCGGAAACGCGGCTGACGGCGCGCTCCGCTCTGTTCCGCTCTTCTCCGCTCTTCTCCGCTCGTCACCGCGCCGCGCCGCAACGCTCCGAGTGCCGTCGCGGTGACTTCCGCTAAAGGACGCCGTACGTCTGCGGATTAACGCGTTAAAACGTGATTTACGTTGATGGCCCGTGGATGGCGTACCGGGAGGCGACGACGACGAATGACGACGCCGCTTTTAACGTATTCGCGGCCGCAATCAAGCGGCGGCCAGGAGCGGAGGCTGCCGCGGAGCTTAACCGAGTTAATGAGCCGCGACCCCGCTCCGCGCAACTTTGATTCAGCTGCTAAGATATGCCCCATTTTTATGG